TAAAAACGTAAATGCTGTACCCTACTTTAACCACGAGTCCTTGTGCAGACGAATCGTTAAAGTGAAACTGGCTTTCAATACAATCCGGTCTTTATTTACTTGCAGGGTATATACTATATAGTGACTCATTGGTTGAATGGTGAACACGCTCGATTGCAAGTCGTGAAGCTTTGAATCCCAGGTAGGAATATAAATTCCATTGCAAAATTTTAACAAGAAAATTTTAATAGTTAGGTAAGTTAAGTATCGGAACACCTTCGTGTCCGGATAATATAAAGCTGTTGATCTCGTGACCCAGGGCTGTGAGAGATGGAATACATACATTTGCGCACGGATTAATAGAGGTGATGGGGCCGGATCTGTCTGGGGTAGGTACTTTTATATAAAACACGTTGAACAGTTAGTGAACGACCTCTTTCGGGTTTCCACATTTTAAGGAAGTGATATTTCCTTCCTTTTTATTTATTGACATTTTATTGCGGGCATAAAATAATAAGAAAACACAGTTAAAGTAAAAATCGTCAACCTTTATTTCATTGAAATGTCAGGGTATATGAAATTATTTAATTTGTATAGGTACTTAAAATTATTCATTTTATCCTTATTCCTTTTATACCAGTTTAACATTACTTCTTAGATTACATCGATCTTTTTGATTTTTGCTTTACAAATCCACTTCACTGAAGTGTTACCGAACCAATTCTTAATAGGCCGGCAACGCACTCGCGAATCCTAATTCATTTTATACTTATTTCTTTCATACCAATTTAACGTTACTACTTGGATGATATCGATCTTTTTGCTTAAAACATTTTGCTATTACTATACATAACTTTACAAAATCCACTTCACTGAAGTATTTCCGAATTCGTGATAGGCCAGCAACGTACTCGCGAGCCCTTTGGCATTGAGTGTCCATCCAAAAATACCATTGACAGGACTAAATTTATTATTATTTACTAAATTTGTTTAATACAGTCTAAATAAATAACTAAGGGTCAGGTTAAAATAACCCATTACCACCGAGCAAGCTTGGTGAATGTCATGGAAGTGAATGAAGCGAGAGAAGTATGTCAGGACCCTAGGAAGTGGAGATCCGTGGTGTCTGTCTGCCGCTTCAGAAAAAATGCGCCTGAGTAAATAAAAAATAAAAAAACTAGCACATACATGTTAATTTCGTGACAAAGACTATTTAGTTATTGTTTACATCCATTGTTGAATAATACTCACGTGATATGCCGTATTTGTTTGCATAATATTCAATCATCGTGTTGACGATATGTTCTAGAAACGTTATTTACTCGTGAAATATATATATACTAGTGGACCCCACAGACGTTGTCCTGCATGATATTTAAAGCGATTAGGATATTAAGCAAAGTATGAAAGTACCGACTGCAGTGCCATCTGCCGGGCTGATTTGTGAATCTAAACCATTCCCAGATCCCCTTGAACACACACAAAAAATTTCATCAAAATCGGTCCAGTCGTTTGAGAGAAGTTCAGTCACATACACACGCACACAAGAAATATATATATTAAGATATGCAAATATTGGTAACTCGCAAATATTGGAAGATTCATATCAAAACCTATTACCTAAATTTTCTCTGCATCTTCTACCGCATTTACCATGGAGAGTATTCAGATGAGTTGTTCGCACTTTAGCTGCAGCTGAGTATTCATCATCGGACGTCAAGGTTGAATACAAAATACCATCCGTTATCCGTATCACCTTGTCGTTCCACAACTGATCGTTTCTTAAGACAGTCTTTGTCGCGCACCACCGCTATGTGGAACCAACTGCCCACTGAAGTATTTGCGAACCAATTGGACTTAGGGTTCTTCAAGGAAAGAGCGTACCAATTCTTAAAAGTTTCTAGCCCTATGCGAAGCCGTATGGCAATGTGGGCGGCTGTATCAATTAACATCAGATGAGCCCTTCTGGCCCGTTTGCCTACTATAACATACAGAAATGTATATATAATTGCCCGTTTAAATAAGTTGAATGGAATGTAATTAATAATTGTTTTTTTAACAACTATATTTAACTGACTAAAACGAAATTAGTTAAAGACGTGGAGACTTATGTATGAGAGTCAACAAATTAACTTTAATATAACGAAATGGAAAGTTATTTTTGCGTCACTGTATACGTTGAAAACTGAGTAAATATTTATTTGTCGCGTTATCGTCCTAAAGCTGTACATAAGTGATTTTTAACCTCGTTTTTAAATGTACTTTGATCTGTCTTCATCTCAATACATGTGGATTTTACGTATCAAAAACGTAGTTAAAAATTAACAAGGTATGTTTACGGATAAATCGTGCGGTTAAAATCCAAAGCAAGTTAGTGTTCTATAGGTATGGGTTCTATATTAGTTGGTGGTAGAAAACAAGTATTTTTTTAAATTTCGAACCTGTGAAGTTCTCGAAATTAGCGCGCTTTGTCCAAACAAACTTCAGTATGGATTTTAAGATCATAATTCAAATTATACTTTGATATATATATATATATTATTAGACGAATTAAACTTAAAAACAATGTTGTTCTCAGTAAGATGCGATCATGTGCAAGTTGGAACCCAGTAAATCGCTACAGTAGCTTTGCCGGGAAAGCGTTATAAACATAGCATACAGCTCGCTTTCGCACAAGTAATAATACATATAACTAGCTGTGTAATAACAAACTAGGTGTATTATTTAATTTCTGCGCTACTTACTTAAGCCGATTTTTTTAATTTATTCACGTTCAATGCCCGATCGCTATGCGGATCCATTTGGCAAGTGAAGCGCTGCAGCGCTAAATCATTGCCAATGCATGAGCCATGACGACCCGCAACAGCGCTGCATTGCTGAGCGATACGCTTATCTTTTGTAATCTACGCAGACGTGTGAATTAGGGTGTGAGAAACGTACGTGATAGAGAAAAATGTAACGCGCATTCTGTGATCTATGTCAAGTCTAACAGAAAATATCAATAAATGGGAATGTCCCGTAATACTTCTGCAGAGTTATATAACTGTTTCATCTTTCGAACGTTTAAATAAATAGGCAAGTAGCTGTCAGTCTTCCAAATGGTAACATTATTAACTTATTCTAACTCGAACCACTCATATAGATTCAGTACATTCAATCGAAAGATTACAGTAAGATATACAGTGGCAGCATATTATCTAGTATTAACATGAATATGTTAAATGTCGTCAATACACTTATCATGATTTGCGATGGATGAAAGAATATGTATTAGCATAGACTAGAGTTATCTAAGGTTATCTTATGAATAAATCACGGGATTTGTTCACTGCGTGCGTATAAATACCCTGTATCTATGTGAAATGCAGAACAGTGTTGGCCCAGTGGCTTCAACGTGCGACTCTCATCCCTGAGGTCGTAGGTTCGATCCCCGGCTGTGCCAATGGACTTTCTTTCTTTGTGCGCATTTATCATTTGCTGGAACGGTACGGAACTGGTGAGTGATCTCAGACCCAAAACCTGGACCGCGGCGTGTGTCAGGCACAAAAGGCTGATCACCCACTTGCTTTTTAGATTGACAAATGAAACAAATACATAAATCTGAGGCCCAGACCTAAAAATGTTGTGACGCCAACGATTTAATGCATTTTTATCTATGTAAAATAGTTATATTTAAATATTTACTTTATATGTTTCGGTATAACAAGTTTAAAAATTATCTTAAAATGTTCTGTTACCCGATACTGCATCGCAAATTGGCACCTGATAGGTCACGGACAACAGAAAATTGGACTGCTGTGTTTTTTATTAAATGTATGTAACACCTGTCTGAATTAAACACTTGTTATAATATTTACTCTATGATTAGTAGACTTTACACATTTCACGAAAGTGATGTATACCCGTGCGTAATCCCATGTATTAAATTAACACAATTGTCTCAGCATGTCTCAGAAAACCAAACAATAGAACAAAGGCGAAGCCTCTTCGAGCAATCCATTCCGCGGTTGAAACTATATTGTTTTATTTAGCGATTTGTCGACCTTACAATCGCTCCTGCGCATGATATCTGCATAGCATTTCACGTCTGTCATCTATGTTGAGTTATGCGGTCTACCGCAATCTAAATCGAATGTTGGACACCGAAAATGTAATGTTAACATAGTATTACTATGAGCTGTGAATGTTTTTTTAAATTATAAATTAATCTCCCCGACTCTTGTGGTGCAGGTTCTTATTTTATACACATATTTTATGTTATGACATTTCCTAATCTTTATATATATAATTCTTCTGTGAGTGTGTATGTCACTGAACTTCTCTCAAACGACTGGACCGATTTTGATGAAATTTTTTGTGTGTGTTCAAGGGGATCTGGGAATGGTTTAGATTCACAAATCAGCCCGGCAGATGGCACTGCAGTCGGTACTTTCATACTTTGCTTAATATCCTTATCGCTTTAAATATCATGCAGGACAACGTCTGTGGGGTCCACTAGTATGTATATATATTTCTATTTAACACTCGCCGAATGGGGAAGAAAAACATCGACGGCGTGTATCAGGCATAGGGCTGATCACCTACTTACCTATTAGATTGAACAAAAAATGATCATGTAGCAGATACAGAAATCTGAGGCCCAGGCTTAAAGAGGTTGTAGCGCCACTGATTTATTTTTATATACAATTCTAATAGATTCATAGGCGTCCCGCAAGTCGAGATAGAATTATTTTAAAACGGAACTACTAGAAGGAACTTTTGATGATAACACAGTTTACATTGTAATATTATAATTAAATAATTTGACTATACGAAGAAACTTAAACGATACTTTTTTATTTCAGATATTGCACGCGCCTTCAATGCTACCTCCCGCCCGTAGTCTTTAACCATCACTGCCAACTATTCCGCCCTATTGCGTGCTTGATGACGCCATGCTAGATTTAATCCAGACCACTTGCAAGAAAGCCCAAGCGAAGGCATTTCAGAGCTGCTGGACCACGTGACATCGGGACGACACAATGAGTCAGTCCCCGGACGAAGCGAGAGCGAGGATTCAAAAGTACAAGGAGGAACGAAGGAATCAGCTCATAGCGAGGACGGCCACTTTGTTTTCTGCCAATGTCACTGAAAGGTAAAATATATTACATCGAGTAGTTTAATCGTGTTCTATCAATGTGGTATTGCTACCGGTCTGAATGATAGATCACGAATGCGATGTGACTTGTGGTTTGTCTATAAAAGTTTTAATGCAGTGTAACTGGTGACTTTTGGCCGGGTACACTACTTCCGATTAGAACAGATTAGAATTCTCTTGACTTATTTTTTATATACAAAATTATTACTTGAATTACGCTCCTATGTATTCCTTCCCATTTAATAAATATTTTCTCTGTATCTTCAAAGGTTTAAGATATAATGTTAGATCAAATTTTCTTTATGATATTTGTTGGTAAGTTATTACTATTACTAATAGAGGTTTAATTAATTTCAGGCGCCCCAGGAAAGCAGTTCAGAAATCTCCAGAGATTGCCAGTCAGCTACACTCTTCCTCTGAGTTGAATCTTAACACTGCCTCAACCTCTGTGCCTATCAGAACCACTCGAACTTCCCGTCTCCGAGCTGCCGCTGCCAGTAATGTAGATTCTTCACCGAAAAAGAATAATAGAAGTTCCTCCGTGCAGTCGCTCTTAGAAGATGATAATTCAAAATTTAAAGATAAAAAGCGACCATTGACCAACAGACGACAAAGTCATGAAAAAGAAAATATTAAAAACATTTCGACTACATCTAAAGATGGTGCTATTAGAATGAAACATTCCACTAATAAAAATATTTTAGAAAAAGACAGAAGCAATTTATTAGTTTGTACTCCTAAACGAAGAAATGTTGACGTGAAATATAATTCTAAAATAGATACAACGACTAGTAAATTAGTGACTGACGTAGTTAGTATTAAAGAAGACGAAGGAAGCGTGGATGATGTTTTTAACAATATACTTGGTGAAAACACTCCAAACAGTTTTGACAAAGATAATTTTGAAGAGTTGTATAAAGATCTCGTTGAAGATTCGAATGGCGATGGGGAAGTTTTAATTGATAATAGAAAGCTCAAATATAGTAATAAAAGTAACATTCCTATAGTGAAAGATGATTTAGACGTAATTGTAAAATGTAATGGTGATGTGCCAAAAGTGAAGGAAGTGGGTTTGTTGGGAGCAGTGTGTATTCGTAAAGTAGAAAAATTTAGTGAACTGTTTCATAATTTATGTGCTCCATGTGAAGCTGATGTTTTATTTGAAGATTTACTTGTGGATAATGGGATTGACACTACAAATGATTCGGTAAGTATTTGAAACATTATTAATATTTTTAATTGAGTATACTACACATAAGTATTAACTTGGCTATGCTTCAGATTTACAAATCTGAAGCATTTAATTTTGCAAACGCTTAGTAGTAGAAGTTAATTGTAAAAAATACATATTTCGCATCTGAAAGATGTATTTAGGAGATCAATACGCGCTCATCTCAGTAATTTATTTATAATTAAAAAGTATGAATCCTACGCATTTAAATTACCTAAAATCGTACATTAAACGTAATATAATTGCCTGTATTCCAAACTTGAGCAGCGCCCCGCGGACGTAGTTGGAACTAAATCGAACCACGAACAAGCATACTTCAAGTAGTAGTAAACTGTAACCAATCTTTGGGAAAGTTACAATATCTCTCAATAAACTCTTTTTTATCACGTGAAAAAGATATATCGATACCAGATATATAACGCTTAATATTATAAACATTAATTATTTACTTTTTAATTAGCTTATGTCCTTTGTTAGCCCAAAATAATTATCCAATTAACCCCAGGCGAAACTGCTAAGTCCGAAAAGGTTATTAATTCTTGTTTATATTTCAGTACATTGTTACAAATTAAAACTGTCATACTAAAACCCACATATTAAGGGGTATTCATGAATCTTTGACTTTTGAATGTAGCGTATACTTTTTTATTATACTTGTGTTTTTTAAAAAAATTACTTAGTCTAATGCAAGCTCGTATACCATCTTATTTTAGTAGATGGTATTAGACTTAATGGTTAACCGATTAGCAAAGCAATATATAAATAATATAAAAATACACAGGTTGGGCCAAAAAAGAGTGTCAAGCGATGGTCCAGAGATAGAGCATCCTTAGAGCAACCCAAATAATTACTAATTAAAATAACTAAAATATTTTTTATTACTCAGCTTAAACACTAGCCTATTTGACATAAAAACAAAAAGATAAACAATCGTTTATCTTCATTATTTTAAAAGAAACACCATACGATTGGCTACCTCTCTGTCATCTTTTAAAACTCTTCCGTATAATCATTTCTCAACCTTATCCTATCCTGATCAATCGTGACTTGTATAATTCTTATGTTTCCTTTTGCATCACTATTTGCTGTTCATGAATTTGTAAGATTAGCTTTTAAGTTTTTAGTCTGTTATTAATATTTTTGTTTGTATTACTTTAGATTAAGGTTCTATATATATATATTTTTTTATATAACATTTGTTTCTGCACTTCTCGCACGCATCATGTTTTTTTTTTTTTAGTTTTTCTCTTGAACTAGGGTTGCCTGGAATAGATCGCTTATTAGCGATAAGGCCGCCCGTTGCATCCCTTATAATTTTTATGTATTGTGTTTCTTTTATTTACAACGAAGTGTAAATAAATAAATAAATAAAAATTACCTAAAAATCGGAACATCACCAAAAACAGAAAAATAATTATAACTCATCAAAAAATCTTAGAACATACTAGGATTATTCGGTTTCCTCTAATTGTCCTCTATCTCTGGACCATCGCTTGACACTCTTTTTTGGGACACCTGTACATATAGCCAGAAAGAGAAACCTCGTAATAAATCTAATACGATCACACTTTACTAAAAAATCATATAATATCACATTAATTCATTAATTAAGCGATCTCTTTCCCCAAATAAAGGTAAAATTATTTAAATATGCACTAGCTGACCCGGCAAACGTTGTTTTGCCTTGTATATTATTTCTTAGAAACATTTTTTTAGTTCAATAGGTGTTCATCGTAGAGGGGTTAAAGTTAGGGGTTGTATGTATTTTTGTATGCTGTATCGTAAAAAAATAAAAACAAAAAAAATTGTCTAAAAAATGAAAAAAAAAAAAAATTTGGCTGGACATCCCTTATCACTTAGGGATTTGAAAGATAGATAGTAGCCGATACTGACTTATTGAATATGCATAAACAATTTCTTAAGAAATGGTCGAGCCTTTAGAGTATGGGAACGAACAATTGTGACACGAGAATTTTATATATTATAGTTAGTGAGGAAATGTGATAAGTATGAAATAAGTTACTAAATTTATTATTCGGCTCATAGTAATAATGAAGCCTCGAAATACACAGATTATATTTATGTTAAGGGCTAAGGCACTGAGCATGATAGAAAATCTTCTCAATTAATTACTGTGTTGGGGTGAAATTTCCAATTTATCCCTTTACTAATTAGCTAATTATACATGGGCTTTGTGGAATATAGTAAGTTAGTATTTTTTTCGGAATGTTCTCATAAAAGTGATGAATAGATATTAATGCAATTTAATTTTTATTTACAACTAGAGGACCCCGTGAACTTTGTTTCACCAACATCTATTTGTGTCAAAACAAACCAAAGAGATTGGACCTCATACAGCAGACTACATACTAATACTTTGAAACACATATTTCTGAAAGAATCTACCTATAAATGACAACCAAGTGACAATTTTTAATTTCTAAAAACACATCGACATTATCCAACTAAGAACAGTTTTATTGAAAATTCAACTGTCATTTTTAGTACTTTTCTTTAATAGTTGTTTCCCGCCGTTTAAACCTTCTTTGATCTTCCACAAATATTTCAAGATCATAATTAGCCAAATCGGTTCAGCCGTTCTCGAGGTTTAGCGAGACAGCAATTCATTTTTAAATATGTAGATGAATTACTCACAAGATAATAAATATATTTTTAATTTCTTACAACCACGTTTGCGGTAAAAATAATGAATCAAAATATAAATTATTGGAATCCTAAGAGGATTGCCTTTACCTAAGGCAAAAAGTGTGCATAGATTTCCTTACGTTTTATTTCCTTATCTATATTGTATATGAAATAATTGATAAGACCTCATATCGACCCAACTGCGCTTAACCAGGTCAAGAGTGACGCGTATATGGTCATGTCATGAAATTGCATGTAAATTATCGACTCTTCATATCACTACCAGATACGGCAATGCCATTTATGGATAAAGCTGTGTGGAAACTAGTCTTGTAAATAAATAATGTATATTTATTGTTTGCGAGTCTTTTCTCAGTGAGAGAGCTTTGAATTATATATTTCTTATTTATATCCGTATTTCTTAAAAGGCCGGCAACGCACTCGCGAGCCCTCTGGCATTGTGTTAATGGGCGGCAGTATAACTTGACTGTTCCCCCCTGTTCCTCTTGTTCCCCTACCTCCTGTTCTATAATACACAATTGGTTTGGATATGACGAGCTCAAAGACGTAATGAATTTTGACATTAGGAATGACTTAGGAAGATAAATGAATAGACGTTCCTTACTCAGTGTGAAGAAAAGTGCGTCGTCTGTAAAAGCAATTTACTTAATTAGATTAGCACGAAACAAATAATGAACCAAAATTCCTGTTATTGTACATGGCGAAGCCAAGTGACGCTGAGGTCCCGGTAGAATGAGAAAGTGGCGACTCGAGGGCCTCTATTTCCGTGTTATTTGCACCCGAGGTGATGGTATAGCCAAGCCGGTTCTCTGAAAGGCCTGGAATGGTTTCAGCCCAAATTACTTCTTTGCACGTTGGTTGTACGGGAGAAAATACCTTCACGCCTCGAAGAAAGTAGAGATATTTTACACTACCCCGAGTGTTATTTCTATAGTACTGCGGTAGAAAGTACCACTTGATATACATACAACGGCCACTATTTAAGCCTTGACTTGTTAAAGCTATCGCGGAATATTCTTAAAAGGAGTATTAAGAATATCCATAGCGCTAAATCACATGCATCATGAATACACACACACACATACACAACCTCACGTACACACCCTCACTTTCACACCATCACAGAACACAGCCGAATTAGGTATTACTTAGTTAAATGTATTTAATAATTTCCTAAATGTTGGAACCTTTTTGTTTATATAATATTATGCATTACATTTTTGGCTATATAGCTTTAGTACAATTGTTTTTTGTTAAATGTAATGTAGGACTACGAAATAAATAAATATTATATCAAGGCGTAAAATTTTTGAAATTATTTCCAAATAATTCTGTACCAATATGGTTAAAATGGTAGCCAAGAAACGTTACATTCTCATAAATAAGTTTGATATTGGGTTTGGCCATATGCCACCACCATATATGTAACAGTTGCAGGTTTTCATCGAAAGTTGATTGCTTTATTCCGTTTTGTGTCGAAAACAAAACACCTGCTAAAAGAAAAGTTATTGGATGTTATATTATTAATATATATAATCATATTCGTTGCCTTTGCAGTGTTGAGTGCATTTTTGTTAATTCTTAATTAATAAACATTAGAATTTCATAAATATGAGACATGAAGGCTTTGAAATGAAATTATAAACAATTTTATCATTGAGGTTAGATTTTTACAATTCTCATGATGGCGAATTTTATTTTTATAATAAGAAAAAGGTGATAATTATATACCTATATGATATAAAAAAGTCAAATCATACAGATTCCGGGCAAAATGGACGAAGGAAAGGTTATATAAAGTTTGTGAGCAAAAAAAAAACCCTTAGACCTCTATTTAAAAGAAAAATATTTTTAGTTGTTTTATATCAAGAAAATGTCTGAATAAATTTCTCTTGTTTCCTTCCGCGTCTGAAAAAGCCTCTGTTTTTATCCAAATGATTGGATTGGCTAAGGTGAAAGCGTAGACATCGATTTATAACTTTGTTTTGACAAGTTGCATAACGAATTTAATTATTGATTTTACCGCATATCTCGCAAAATATTTTATCATCGCGTGATTGATTGAAAGTGCATTGTACATTGGTAAATTATTACGCGAATATTGGCAATGTTACAAAAGAATGATGTATGGACTTTTTTGTTTCGCCTCTTTTGTTTAATTTGGATGAATAATGTGGCAAGGTATTCAATCAATGTCACAGCTGAAGTATTCATCTGGCCACTATTATTGAAATATAAGAAGTACAGATGTGTATTGACGTAATGGCTAAGCGTGTGACTCGCCGCGGCTGTGGACCAATGGCTATAAGGCTCAAGTACGTCCTCACATGGAATACTGGTCACATCTGTGGGCTGGTGCTCCCAAATACCATCTCCTTCCTTTTGACCAAATTCAGCGAAATGCTTGTCGAATTGTCAATCTCCAATGTATTACTGATAGGTTTGATTCTCTCTCTACGCAGAGACATTGCGTCTCTTTGCGTTTTCTAAAAAGTGTACGTGTGTTCTGAAAAATTGTTTGGGTTGATCCTCCTCGTTTCAACACCGTACGAGCCGTATTAATTCAAAATTCCATCAACATCACCTTGATGCCTGGAAGTTTTCCACAGTCCGTTTCACAAGGCATTTTCTTTTGCGAACAAGCGAACTGTGGAATCGACTCCCGGTGGGGGTCTTCCCTGACAGATATGACCAAGTAGTCAAAGTTAGTGCTGCGATGACTGGCCATTTTGGGCGTCCCGTAGACTCATTAGCCCCCTATTGAATGATTTTTCTATAGAAAGAAGACATCGTGAGGAACTGGCATTAGACCCAAAAATCAAATTGTGCCAGTCCTATTAGAAAACTGATTAATTTACGCAATTTGAGGCTGATACACCCTGTTTGTATCAGCCCAAAAGTAGTCTCACCAGTCAAAAGTTTTTTGGGTCTATTTTGGTGGTAAAAATACCAACAAATATTCAAGTCGGCGGTACACGCCTCACGAAGTTTAAGTGGTATTTGCGTACATTCATCAATTGACGGCCGCGGATCGAACATAGGACCAGGATTTAAAATCCAATAATCCATGATGCATACTATCATCAATCTAAATTTTCTGTCAAAGCGCAACTTCCAATAGGAATTACATGCAAAATATTTTTTTGCAAGTTCTAATGAAGAACCTAATGTAATGATTAT